ATCATTAACAAAAGGCGAACCATTCACTTGTAAGAGCTCCACCAATGGAGTTAAACTCCTAACTACATTACCAAACTCGTACAGAGAAGTTATAAAATTTCTAAAATCCAACAAAGCGGACTATCATACTTATCAATCAAAACAAGATCGAGCCTATAGAATTGTAATCAGAAACTTACATCACACAACCCCTCTTGATGATATTAAAAAAGAGTTACTTGATCTCGGTCACATCGCTAGAAACGTAACAAACGTTCTACAATATAACACTAAGTTCCCACTCCCATTATTCTTCATAGATCTAGAACCAGCCATAAACAATAAAGATATCTTCAAAATCGAATACCTATGCTACACTAAAATTAAAACAGAAGAACCTCGAGTTAAACGTCACTTAGTCCAATGCCTTCGGTGCCAAGAATACGGCCACACAAAAGCTTACTGCAATCACACACCCAAATGCGTTCGATGTGGCGAACTTCACCTATCAGATTCCTGCCAAAAACCCACCGATCAACCCGCCAAGTGTGCGCTTTGTCTGGGTAACCATCCAGCAAACTATCGAGGTTGTCCCAAACATAAAGAAATTCAATCATCTCGTAATCCCAAGAAAACTCAAACAACTTCGCATTCTCAACAAAATAATACAATTAATGTACAGCCCATTTATGTAAACACCACTTCAAATTCAAATTCTCAATCCAAATCATATGCTCAAGCAACCAAAGATCCGAATATCACTCCCCACACACCTAATGGTGATAACTCTGATCAAATTTCACTCAAACTAATTTCTTTCCTGGAAGACTTTAAATCATTGATTAATCCCTTAATCTCTTTACTAACCACTGTTATCACTAAATTCCTATCCCAATCAAATGCCAACTAGCTTAAATATCCAACAATCACTATCCATCCTCTTATGGAATGCCAATAGCCTAAACCAACAAAAAAATGAACTTAAAGGCTTTTCTACAGCTCTCTCACGTTGATATTATCCTTATCAGCGAAGCACATCTTACCTTAAACTCCTCATTCAAACTTCCTGGATATATAACATACCACTGCGATCACCCAAGTGGTAACGCTCATGCAGGATCAGCAATTATAATAAAATCAAACCTCAAACACTCTACTCTACCTTCTTACCAGAGCAACTCTATTCAAGCAACTAATACAAAAATAATCTTAAACCACATTCCAACGACTATTTCTTCTGCATACTTTCCTCCTCAAGCAAAACTTAACTCTAATGAACTTACGAACTATCTTCTTTCCATTGGGAATAATTATCTAATTGGTGGTGACTTTAACTGCAAACACACCTCATGGGGCTCTAGAATTACCAATACCAGAGGTCGAATACTACATAATGTTATACAAAATAAAAACCTAAAATTCCTCTCTCCCCCTAACCCTACTTACTGGCCAACCAATCAAAATAGACAGCCTGATATCTTAGATTTCTTCATAACCAACTTACCAAACCATATCAATCGAAATATCTCCAACCTAAGCGATCTTTCATCTGATTACACTCCAGTATTACTATCTTTAAATGATCACGTCACACTTAAAACAACTTATCCTACCCTGATCCCTGGAAAAATCAACTGGCAGATCTTCAGTGAGTCCGTAGAATCCCAAGTCTCTCTTGATATCTCACTTAAAAATCATACTGATATTGATAACGCAGTACTATCTCTAACCGAAATTATTAAAAATTCTGCAACAAGAGCCTCCTATACTCATTCCCCCAAAACTAAACAAGATAATCTCCCTCTACACTTATCTCAATTATTAACAGAAAAGCGCCGTGCTCGAGCTAGATGGCAACGCACACACCTTCCAAGTGATAAATCCACCTACAATCGTCTCTCCTGCAACTTGAAAAATCTTCTATACAAATATATAATACTGAATCATATCAACACTATATAAATTCACTCACAAATAATAATAAGTCTTTATGGAAAGCAACTAAAAACATACTCAAGGAAAAAAAAGTATCACCCCCCCTTACGCAATCCAAATAACACCCTAGCCATATCTAACTCCGAAAAAGCGAATTTATTTGCAACTCACCTTGCTAACAACTTCTGTCCCCACCCAGAAATAAACATTGTAGATCACACAAGACGTATTACCGAATCACTAGATACTCCTTGTCCTATGACTCTTTCAACCAAACACACCTCCCCATCAGAAATTCTTTTCTTAGTAAAAAAATTACAAAATAACAAGTCTCCCGGTCACGACCTAATCACTAATAAAATTATCAAACATCTACCTAAAAAAGCTATTATACAACTCACCTATATTTTTAACTCTATTCTAAGATTATCATACATATCACAAACATGGAAACACTCAATTGTAATACTTATCCACAAACCTGGTAAACCTCCTGAATTACCTCCCTCATACAGGCCCGTCCCTTTCTAAAATTCTTGAAAAAATCATACTAAAGAGAATATATTCTATAGTTAACGAAAGTAATATAATTCCAAACACTCAATTCGGCTTTAAAAATAAACACTCCACACTGCACCAAATCCATAGATTAACAGATATCATCTCTTCATCCCTAGAAACTAAAAATCATTGTGAAGGAGTATTTCTTGATGTCGCACAGGCGTTCGACCGAGTGTGGACTGAAGAACTCCTTTATAAACTTCGATTTCTTCCAGCTCCCTTATACCTAACATTAAAGTAATTCTTATCACAACGCACGTTTGCCGTACGCTGCGATGACGAAACATCCAACATTCATTCTATTAACGCAGGTATACCTCAAGGAAGCATCCTAGCCCCTACCCTCTATAATATATTTACCTCAGACATTCCACACTCAAATAATACACATCTTGCTACATTTACAGACGATACTGCCATACTATCCTCCAATCCCGACTCTAATTCTTCAACAAAATCACTCCAAGATCATCTCAACAAACTCCAGATTTGGTTCAAATTATGGAGAATAAAAATTAACGAAGAAAAATCCACCCACGTATCATTTACTCTCCGTTCCACCAATGGTCCTCCTTTATCGATAAACAACAACATAATTCCTCAACATGATTACACTAAATATTTAGGCATCTATTTAGACAAAAAACTAAATTGGACCTACCACATAAAAAACAAACGAAAATCATTAAACCTACGTCTTCATTCTCTGAGACATCTTCTCCGTTCTAATATGCCACTTAATATAAAACTACTAATATACAAACAAATTGTACGCCCAGCCATGACATACGGTATTCAAATTTGGGGATCCGCGAAAAAATCAAATATCTCTATCCTTCAATCCTTTCAATCAATTAACCTAAGAATAATAACAGGAGCACCATGGTATGTTAGTAACCAATCTCTCCACAAAGACCTAAGAATTCTAACACTTCCTGAACTTGCTTCTTGCTATTTTAAAAAATTCCACAGGGACACACAAAACCATCCTAACCCTCTAATATCTAATCTCCATAATCCCTCTAACCCTATTAACCCATTACGTCGACTCAAAAGAAACTGGGCTAGAGACCTTCTCTAACTCATCTTAGCACAAATTTAGTTTTCAATATTATATTCTTTTTTTGAAGTGGTGTCAATGGGCTCCTTCTTCATGCACGATATTCATGCGTTGTAATTTATTGTTCAGACATTTTTACTTATTGTATTATGTATACAGATTGTAATATTTTCTTAATAAAAAAAAAAAAATAAAAAAATAATGTAAATTTATTTATTTTAAATGTTCGTATGGGAGCCGTATATTTTATTTCAAAATCAAAAGGAGCCGTGGACCCAAAAAGGTTGACAACAACTGGTATATAACGTATTATAAACTAAAAATATACAACTAAAAAAAAAAAATTACCAAATATGATGGAACAAGAATGAAGCGTAGCAAACACCATTTTATGTTTTTGTCCTGCATAAGAAAATTGTGATAATAAATTATTATGAAACATTTTGGACATTATTTGACGTGTCATATCTGAAACGTTATCACGTTCCAATCTACTCAAATAATTAATCTGCAAAATAATAAAAAAATTAATTATGTTTTACTAAAATTAGAATTAAATTTATATAAAAATTATTCAAGATTTATAAAACCCACCACTTTCTGTCGAAATTCAATGTCACCTAATTTTTCTCCAAATATATTAAGCTCATCAATACTTGTCATTGGGAATTTATATATACTTTCATTGACTAAACAATTAACTTCTTTAGAAAAAGATTTATTTTGATTTGTATGTATATCACTCAACATATTTTCAATCCTATTAATTTTTATCATATCATTTTTCATATCGTACTTAATGTTTATAATGGAACGAGTCAAATTTATTAAAATATTTTTTAAACCTGAAAAATTATTAACAATTTTCCATTTTATATAAATTTAACAAATTATAGTTATGTTTTCAAATAATATACAAATTATTTATTTATTGTATTACCATCATTAGTATAAGGACTACAATAAGATATAGGTGACGTGTTAAAATTAGTTAGAGCAGGGGTCGGCAACCTTTTTTGACGGAAGAGCCAAAAGTTATAATATACAAAATTTTCCAGATTTTAAAGAGCCACTAAAAATTTTCGTAATTTTTTTAATATAATTTTATTTTTAAATTCTAATAGACATAATAATAATAAAATTAACTATAATAATTTAATAAATTTATAATAAAAAAAAACAGTTTTTTATAATAGGGAAATACATCAATGGGACCATTGGCTTTACATGTCTTTTGAAAGTTCTTTTAAATTTGGATCATAACTTGTTGTTTTGAGTTTCAAGCACGACTCTAGATTTGTATTTGTTAGTTGGCTTCTTACTTTGTTATTTATTGTATTCATGCAAGAGAACGCTTGCTCAGACGAATATGTTGATCCAAAAATTGCCAGCACTCCAAATGCCAACTTTTTCACCTCACTGTAGCATTCTGGAAGACTATTCCATGCTTCGAATATAAATTCCTCTACTCTCGGCATTTTTTTTTTAGAGCTGTCCACTTGTTCTGCGCGACGTGCATGCATTTCTGAACCTCCAATTCTTCCAACTTACTCTTGAGTTCTATGAACTTGTCACTCCACAGGTCTTTGTTTTTTAAATCGAGCAATTGCATTTGAAACGATCCAGCATCAATTTCAAATGGTTCAATGTTGATCTCATGTGTGTTTGTGTTGAAAGGATTTACTATAAATGCGAGAGTACTTTTGTTTGTTTTGAATTGCTCGAATCTTTTGGAGAATTCATCCTTCATTTTTTTTATAGTTATGCAGAAGTAATTAATGTCAATATTTGCATTGTTTTCATCACAATATTGCTTTAGATTTCTAAAATAAAATAATTTACCGCTCTCCATGTCTTCACTAAAAATAAGTAATTTTTTTTCGAAACAAACCACTTCTTCCATCAAGGCATATGCTGGAACTCCCTTTCCTTGTAGTTTTATATTTAGCTCATTTAGTTTCATTGTAATATCTACCATGAAGAAGAATTTTTGTAACCATTTGTCTTCTTCCGATTCGAGATGGTCAATGCCTTTTTCATTGACGAATGTTTTTATTTCTCTCAAGCACGAAGCAAAACGTTTTAATACGTTACCTCTGGAAAGCCATCGTACTTTATTGTGCAAAAGTAGGTCAGAATACGGGCTATCTATTTCTTCAAGGAAATCTTTAAACTGGCGATGGTAGAGTGTTTTTGCTAAGATGCTGTTAATAATTTTAATTACTAAGTTCATGACCTCAACTATTTCGGACGGAAATGTTTGGGCACAAAGCGCCTCTTGATGAATTATGCAGTGAAACGTTAGGATTTCGTGGTTAATTTTGGTCTGAAGAATCGATATTGCACCTTTATGTATTCCAGTCATACTTCTGGCTCCATCAGTTGCTATGGAAACGATTTTATTTAAATTTATTCCATTGTCTTCCAGGCATTTTTGCACAGCATTTGCTATATCTTCCCCACGAGTTTGTCCAGAGAGCGGTAGCAACCCTAACAGTTCTTCTTTTGGACCTTGGGACGACATATATCTGACGAAAAGGGAAACTTGTACCGTGTCTTTTATGTCACAAGACTCATCTATAGCAAGTGATAAGGCAGAAGCTACTTGAATGTCTCTCACTTGCATATGTGTTACATTTGAAGACAATTTTGCAGTTCTATCTTGTACTGTTTTAGCTGACAAAGGCAAATCTTTGATTTTTTTTCATGATTTCGTCTTTGTTTTTGAAATCACGAAACAGTTCATCAGATGCACGTATAAAACAATCTTTGACGTACTCACCATCCGTAATTGGTTTCCCTCTTTTTGCAATTTCTAGTGCTACTGCAAAGCTAGCTTGATTTACGTTATTTGAAGATTGCGTCCAGTTACTTAGCATGGAACTTGACTGCTGTTTTGTTTTTTAGCTCTTCAACAGCTTTTTTTCGTGTATCACCGATTGGATATTTACTAGCGAACTGGGTATGTTTTGTATTAAAGTGTCTCTCCAAATTTGACTTTTTTTTGTGCGCCAGCTTTTCCAGACAAATGAGGCAAGTCGGAATGCCATCTGTGTTGCATATGAACGCAAAGGACTCCGTCCAATCCTGATGAAATTCTCTATTTTCTTCAGTTCTTTTCCTTTTTTTATTAGATGTCATGATGACGCTGAAATAATGATTTTTAAATTTAATTTTATTATATTACATGTGTACACACCTTTCAAAAAATAATTTGCTTCTAAATAGTCTTCTTTTCTATAATGAAACAATGAACGAAAAAATAAAATATAGTGACGATACAGCCAAAAACCAGAAAATTAAATTAAATTAACACGCACATGCAACGTAACGTCATCTGCGCTGTACGACTGAGGTCTGAGACTGACTGACATATGTCAATTCGTCGAACAAAATAAGTCATAAAATAATATCGTATTATTTTGGACTTTGTTCACGTTATTAACTTCTGGTGACGGCGTATGACTAATTAGTTGTAGATAGTGTCGCGATTTTATTATAATCTATAATAAACATTTTACAACGATAGACTGTACTCCATGCGGGCCCTATCAAATTATTTTCGTTACGTATTATTTCATATTTCCAAAAGCAACAAAAATAATATACGTTTTTATATCATAAAATATTGTTTTTGAACATAAAATATTAATTTTTGTGTATGTAGCTGGGGAGCCGCAACTTTAGACCGAAAGAGCCACATGTGGCTTGCTAGCCACAGGTTGCCGACCCCTGAGCTAGAGTAGTAGCAACACCATCAATATTGTGATCATTAATTTGCCAGTTTCTTGTAGGAGACTTAAGCACATCTGTATTTATGTTTTCTATAAGTACAAAATTAATAACTATAAGAAAACTATTTTTGATTCATATAGATTCAAAATAAATATAATGATATAACTAATGATGATCTTAATATTATGCAAATGTAAGTTCGATTTTACCAAAATATTTTGGAGATTGACTAACATGGAGATTACTATTACGGTTTCCATTAACTTTTTGCGACATTGAATCAAAATTTAGCTTTCTTTTTGACAACTTAGTGGAACGTAACTTATTATCATCAGTTACTTTCCATGTTCCTGGTGATGGTGAGTTTAATTTAATAATATTTGAGCTTAGTCCTATAATAAAAATATAATAATAATAATAATGACAAAAATATACACAGGTATTTTGATTAGAGATGTTAAATTTCAGAAATTTAATTCTGAAGAAATTTCCAGATATTTCTAAAATATATGTTTTTTAAAAATTTAATTTTAATTCAACTTATTAAACTTAATTTTTTTTTTAATTAGCTTTAATCAATTTAAAATTATTCTTTAAATTTAGACAAATATTTTATCCCCTAATTTGATCTAATTTTTAAATGGTATCAGTAAATTTAATTTAAATAAATAATAATTAATATATATTTTTTTAAATAGACATAGACTCAATTCTTTATTATTAGTCTTATTTAGTCAAAACAATTTATTTTAGTTTATACTTAAATAATAAATATTATTCAAAAGTTCGAAACAATAAAACAAATGTATAGGAAATTTAATAAAACAAAATTTAAAAAAAAAACTTAACAATTCTTATAACTGAAATTTGAATGCTAAAGAGTAAAGAGTCAAAAATCAGAATCTGAAGTTGAAACACCTTCATTTCCTTCCAAGAGATTTATAATATCTTCCTCTCCAAGTGAAGACTCCTCATTACTTCTAGTTTCATTTATTTGTTCAGCTCTTGTTGTTTGTTCAACTTCAATAATTTCAGTTTCATAATTGGTCTGGTTCAGTGTATCTACATTTATACTTAAATTATTGACGTTTTTGGTGTCAACTTTCACATCACTACAAAATTTTAAATTTTGTTTAACAAATGTGAGTTATCTATCCTGGAATTTAGTAATCTATTTCTACGTTTGCTATGAATAAAACCTTGAGTGCTAAATGAGCGTTCAGTAGCAGCACTAGTCGCTGGATTTGAAAGTATATGGTGAGCTATAGTAGACAGACATGATGATCCACAAATGCCTTTCCACCATAATGCAGGTTCTATATCTTTAGCAGAAATCCATATAAAGCTATTTTGCCACAGACCCTCTTTAGCTCGATATTTTGCTAAATCAATTAAAATAGCAGAAATCTCAGCTTGGCTGTAGTTTAAATCTTCTGCAACTTTACAAATAAATTGCATGGCTTCCACTTGTTCCTGATTAGTAATATTTGATCCAATTGAACCACAATTTAGTATATCAGCAGCTAAGTGTATAGGTTTTAGTGCAAACTTTCTCCTATGTTCAAATACTTCAATTATTCTTTCTTGGTCTATTTTTGAAATGGGTGCCTCTGGTAAGTTATCATTAAATGATTTAGAAATTTCACTAAATGCTTGTGTGACTAAATGTATAGTAGGTTTATCACTCTCTAGACGAGTTATCCACTGGAGAATCGGTTCAAGTAGGTTAGTCAGTTTTAAAATGTTAACCCAAAATTTATCATCTCTTAACTTTCTTTCCATAGGTTCAGGTAATTGACCAACATCTTCACTTACGGCTAAAATGCGTAAAATGGTTTTACATTGTAACATACTTTTAAGACTTAAGACAACTGAACCCCATTGTGTAATTACTGGTAGTTTTAATGTTGTTATAATGTTGTTTTCTTTTTCAATTTTAGTAAACTTTGACAGTAGAATAGTATATCCACGAATAGTTTTAATAATTTCACAAACATCATCAATATATTTTTTGACAGAGACTAATTTGCGAATGTCTCCAATCATTAGGTTAAGCGTATGAGCAAGACATCCATAAGAAGAAAGATGTGGATATTTTTGTTCAAGTAGTTTACAAGCCTTTCGCATATTTTTTGCATTATCTGTGATGACAGTAAAAAACTTGAGTGCTCCATATTTTTTCAATAATTTCTTCCATAATTTCACACATGTGTTCACCTGTATGTCTGTGGTCTTCTGTGTCAATGGATTTTATAAAAACTGGTTCTGGTATTGTTATAATTATATTTATCACTCCTTCCTTCATTCCTAAAAAAAAAAAAACATCAAACATTGATAAAACAAAAAATTATTAATTAAATGAGTAAAATACAGGGCTTAAAACCGTTTCTAAAATAAGGGGTATTCGGCTCCGGTAGGAGCCGAAAATTTTTTACTAACCGGTTACCAGTTTTCTCGTTCTAAGAAGTGTTGTTAACCAGTTATCGGTTACCTTACACCAGATTAATATAATGGTTACCGGATACCAATTTTTAACGGTTTATGATATATTTAAATCACCACTTACCGATTTTAATCGGTTTAAATACCGCTTTTCACAAAACCTTTTTTTTTTTTTAACTTAACAATTATGAACTATTTATAATGATGTGTTTACACCACAGACTAAGATAAAATATAAATCTCAGTACATAATATTATCTAATCTCTATTCTGTCTTAATTCTTAGACCGTGGTTTTTAATTTTTATACACCTTTTTATAAATTAACAAAAAACAAAAACTGTAAGTACCTATAATAATTTATTATAATTTTATAAAATGTAAATTGTAAATTAAACAACATTGAAAATTAGTTATAACTATGATTTCCTCGTATGACCAAAATATCATCAAGTAAATGAGAGGATATGGATGATCTTAGATCGTTGCAAATAAACTTTAATCCGGAAAACGTCCTTTCTACAGTCACCTATAAAATATACATATACAATGTACATTAAGTATTATTGTTCAATAGGTGCCATAAATTTTATATTATTACCTGCGTACACGGAACAGCCATAACAACTTGTGTTAACTGAAATAATTCTGGTTTTATAATTTTATTCTCTGACCAATATTTTAGAACACAGCTTTTATGATGAAGTCGAGGCACATTATCAAATTCTTCAATTATAACTCTAATTGAACGATTATCATTATTTTCCACCTCAAGGCACGGTGTACTGCTTTGAGAACTTAAAAATATTTCAAATTCATCTATTTCACCAATAGTATCATCTTCGTTGGTGGTTGTCTCACTAACATCATTATTTACAATTGTTTCAAAAGTAAGTTTCATTGCATTCCATGTTTTGTTTAAGTGATTTTTAGCAATTGACTTTTGTTCTATGCTGAGCATTCTTTGAAACCGAGGATCTAAAAAAATTACTGGAAATAAAAGTTGTACATTTTAATTTTTTAATCTACATATATATTACTTCCGATAATATTAAACAGAACAATAACATATTACAAACCAGAAGAAAATATAGGTTCTTCAAACAATAATTTACTTCTCCGGTCCATAGAAATTACTATTGCTTGTGATAATGAACTATCTACTTTTTGTAACTTTGATAATATATTCCACCAAATTGCAAAGAAATCCCCAATGGTAATATCACTTTTTTGTAAAGAAACAAGTCCTATTTTTGCAGGTTCTAGTGAAGCCACCTGCAACATTATAAAATATTTTATGTTTTTGTAATTTCATTTTACAAAATAATACGAGTAGGTACTTGAAATTGGTTATTAATTGATATTACACAATAATAGGCAATATTAATTTTATTACCATTTTTTCAATATTATCCCAATCGGGTAAAGATAGTTTTAAATCGTTCATGGTATCTTGAAATTTCAAACAGAAATCTTTGAGTTCAAGAAATCTATATAACATGTCATACACAGATGACCATCGGGTTTCCACATCACGAATGGCTTGTTTTTTATTTTCCTGTTTAAGTAGTCCAGCATAGATTGGAGTTCGTAATTTCTTAACAACCTAAAATTAGTTAATTAGTATAAAACAATCAGAAGTTAAATATTTTAAATTAATTACTGTTCTTGCTCGTGCAAGAGCACCACGGATACTTTGGATTTTCAGTCCCTCTTCAATTGCCAAATTTAAAGTGTGTGCTGCACATCTTACTTTTGAAGTAATTGCTTCTGGACAAATAGCATCAATTACCTCATTTTCAAGCTCTATTGGTTCATTATCCACTATCAAGTCTTCAGCTGATTCATGAAAAATTGAAAAATAATTTTTATTTAAAAAAACCACATTTCATATCAAGTACCTACTCGCATTATATACATAATATAACAACATAATATATCCAAATATTTAACCTTTACAGAGTACATTATTTATTATGATTGGTATTAAACTTTTAAAATTATCTAAATCATTAAATTACCTATTTCTTGATCTGGATCGCTTATCATTAAATCAGTCATTTTTAACATATTAGCAGCGTTATCACTTGTAATTGAATATATTTGATATTTAGTTAGTCCATATTTACTTATAACATTAAGCAACTAAGAAAGTGAATATAAAATAATTATTAGCAAAATATAATATTAATTGCCCAATTTCAATAAAAGAATATAGGTGCTGAAGCCCCTTATTTTTTTTTTAGTCTTATGATGCATTACATAATGATCTTACCCCCAACCTTACCATCTTGACTCCTCAGAAAATTATAATTTATTTAATAATGGCCTTAACAATATTACTAACAAAATAAAACATAAGTACAAATTAACTACAAACGCCATTAATTATGAATGTGGTAATTTCGAAATTGGGGGGTTCATTACATTTATGCCTCCCAATTTTAGACTCTGAATACTAAATAAATACCTATTAAATAGGTATATAAAAAAATATTCAATTAACATTTATATATCTTACTGTATCTTATAAGTATTTCGAGGAATGGCGTTCAACAAGCTCGAAAATGGCCAAGGTTTTAATTTTTAAAGTCAATGTATCTTTGTGCATATATTGAACATTGACTCCCAAAAATGACTTATTATGTCTTGAAACTCCATCTACTTTCAATGAAACCATCTTATATTTCATATCGTCAGAAATTTCAGCAACTATTTTTAAAGCAGTAGCAGATACATGACTTCTTATGTTTTGTGGATTTATAGATATAGCTATAAAATATAAATTTATAACAAGTTATACAACATGCGACATAATATTTCAAAGGTTTAGATATTTTGCTAAGCAATTAAAAGCACTTACAATTAGGTTCAAAGGCTTTAAGTATTGGATTTATTATTTTTTGAAAACCAGAATCTTGCATTAGGCACATTGGTCTTCCATTCACTGTTATTAGTTCAACACAAGCAGACAGTAGTTTCTTCTTGTCCATTTCAATTTTTATAGTCTTGTTTGCAATAAAAGAACTCATAAGCATTTGACTTGAATCAATGTCTCTCTACATAAAAATAATTACTATAATTAATGTTTAAACTATAAAGGATATTAATTAAAATGTTTATATTTATGAATACATAATATATAATACTCTTAAATATGACTACAGTAAAACTATAAATGACACTTGAATGATACTCAAATACATGAATATTAATAATAATAATAATAATACATATTGACATATTGTATTGAAATATCTAAGTATTAACTAAGATACATAAGATACATTCCAAGTTTCAGCTAACAAAAAATAGGTAAAGTATAATAATATTCATTATGCAGTATGTTTAAATAATTATTGTGCATTTAATACCTAACTATTGATTTTATTAATGAAATATTTATTATAAATTATAATTCCTATTATTATGTTATGAGCAGATAATAATCAATTTCTAATTTATTTTTAACAAATAATATTTATTTGTAAAAAAGTAAAATGTCTAAATGATATAATCTAAACGTATAATAACAATTAAAATAGAACAGTAGTTTATCTAACCTAACTTATTTTTTTCTTACCGATTATGATAAATTAGTGCATCTAGTTATGTAAATTATAAAAATACAAAACTTACCTTTTGTTTTTTTGAATTTCCATGTAGACTCAGGAGCATCAATTTTTTTGCTATTTTTAACATCTTGGAGTTCATTAAATTGTTTTTTATGATGGGAAAAAATATGTTTTTCCAAATTGGAGGAATGTTTACCAGTCATATTTTTATTACAATTATCTATATTGCACTTCGAAGTATTTGAGCTTACGTTAAACGTAAAAAACATTTCTAGCACTGGATTTTTCATGATTAATAGAAAACAACAACAAAATATTCAAAAATATTAAATATATATAACTGACGAGTGACGACTGCACAATGTACGTCTGTACACTATACAACAATACGGTGGTCTGTAAGGAGTGCTATACAAAAATACTGAACGAAATAAATAAATAATTACGAATAATAGCAGGTAATAAGTAAATAATATGATATACATAATATATATAATATATATTATATATTTATATTATATAATTTGTAGATCATTAATATTAAATAACCATGTAGACTGTTGTACAGGAAACAGCCAAAAGGGAAATAGTGAATAGGTACCAGTAATATAAAATAATCAGTACAGCTATAAATAATAAATATATTATTTTTAATTTATAATATATTTATTTACATCATAAACCTATTATATATTACCCGTATAGCATGTACGTATTTGACATTGTATATCTACCTATATAATGAAATGCATAACTTCAATATAGGTATTCACTATTCCCCAGTACCCACTGATAAATGTTTTTCTACTAAATAGAGATTAGAATATAAACTGAAATAACAATAAATAATTGGTAATTTATTGGAACAAAATAATCTTTTTCCGCAATATTTCTACTGGTTACCGGGTATCGCTAAATGAACGATTTTCAGAAATGGTGATAATTGGTTTTTTGTATATGACATTATAAACTTTTGTTAATCGGTTACCGATATTCGCTTTCCAAAATGCGGATAAAATAGATTACCGGTTTAAGGTTCTTAAAATTTACGGTTTTTAACGGTTTTCGTGAAAAACCGGTAAACGGTTTTAAGCCCTGGTAAAATATCTATGATAATCATTCAAGAATCAAGTTTTAGTATAGGGTTATATACATATTTACAAATTAAGTATAGGGTCATTTCATTCAGTGAAATGAATTCTATAACATCCCTTTATTAATGTTTTGAGTAAAATGATTTAACTAATGCATATTATTTTTTTATTCAAAACTTAAATATTTTATATTATTTTTAATTTTTATCTAATTATTTCAAAAGCATCAATTTATTTTATTAAAATTGTTTTCATAAAGGTTTCATTGTCTAACTATTTTTTTTTGTAATTTAATTTACAATATTTTCAAAATTAAATAAAATATTATTTCTACACATAAAATCTAACAAGTAACATAATGTATACCTTAGGTTAGTCCAACCATCAGCCTGAATACCTAAATTTGAAGCATTTTGAATTTTATTTTCAACTTCAAGAAAGAGATGAGAATATTCCATATTCAATAATTTACCAGCAAACAAATTCCTTAGGAAACATTAAATTGAATATTTTAGATAATATTTTGTTGAATAATGAATAATTGGAAACCAAATTATCATAATCAATAAATCAAACATCAAATATTATTCAGTGTTACTACTATTACTGAATAATCAGTAGACAGTACTACAGTAGGTAACAAAGATTTAGATTATTTTAGATTTATATTACATAACAATTTTAATTTTGTGTAAATCCTTCAACTAAATATACAATCAATTAAATAATAATTATAAAAATTATAAATCTTTTTCATTGTGCACACAATTATATAGATAAAAATTAGAACTTTTATAAATCACTATCATAAGAAAATTTGAGTAAAAATGTACTTACCTAGATGGAACAATAAAACTTGGTCGGATAGTTTTGAAGACATTTTTCCAATAAGGATTTTCTAGTATGGATAAAGGACTTCCAGATGCATAGATTGCTCTTGCCAGCAACGCTTCTAAATGCTCCTATAGATTTGAAATTAAAAGTATGTACAATAAATTAAATTAAAAATACATTTATTGACTTAAAAAACAAAGAAAAACTACTATAGTCCGGCTCACGAAAAGTGAACGTTCAAGGTCGATGGGTGGTGCTCAAATGTTGTTGAATCCAGGGGTTCTCCGTTTTGTACCTATCACTGGCCGTCTCATGATCCATGATTCGTTTTGGCGGAACCATATTCAATAGACATTCCTTTTATGTTAGCAGCTGCTACTTTACCTTTTTTTAAAGGCAAACCTAGGTATTGTGTTTAACATTACAATTGTCATTCCTCGTGAGCTCGACTTAGTGAACGCTTGTGTTTAGTTAACAGTGATACAATATTCGGTCTGCTTTTGGTGTTATAACCATTTATACATAGTTTGTTCAATTAATACTAATTTTTAATTATTTAACGTTAAAATGCCTTTTAAAAACAATGACACTCGTAGTCAAACCAAAAATTATTTTTAGTGTATACAATTATTTAAAAATCTGGCTACTTCAGATGACGAGGTCTTAAAACAATATTTTAAACAGACTCAAAAAATTACTGCGGACGCGTGTGGTGTATCTCTTATGACAGTAAGACGAGTGTGTGCAGAAGGATCATCTACTGCTGACGATGTCTCAGACTCGTCACAACCTGGACCGTCATTTATCTCACCGCGAAAAACGTATAAACGGAAAAGTATGCCAGAACTTGACGATTTCGATAACGATGTTGTTCGACGAACTGTGCATGAATTTGAAAAGGTGAATATCCTACATCAAGATTAATTTTAAATTCTATTCAACAAAATTTGATTATAAGGTAGTCTTGCTTCCATGAAAGATTGTTGACAAAATTAAAATTTACGTATAAAAATGTAACGACGGACGTAAATTTAATGGAGCGAAACGACATTGTTCCTTGAGGTAAATTTTGCGTACGATGTGTACACTCCGAAAAATAACGATTCCCGTCCTGTAATTTACTTAGACGAGACCTGGTGAATCAAACCACTAAAACGTATATATGGCAAAATGAAGATGAAACTGAAGGTTTAAAAGTACCTACCGGTAAGGGAGGTCGGCTCATTGTTTGCCATGCAGGTTCAAGTCATTATGGTTTTATTAAGGAAGCAAAATTAATTTTTCGTAGCAAATCAGGCAGTACAGAAGACTACCATAATCAAATGAATGCTGAAGTTTTAGATCTGGTTCGTACAAATGTTGCAATCCTTGAAGAATCATGTGTCATCGTCATGGACAACGCTCCATACCACTCAATGTTGGAAGATACTTTTCAAAAGCAATGCCCGAAAGCCGGATACAAGAATGGTTAACCAAAAATATTGATTTTCTCCATTTGAAACAGTCTTGAGTTCGTGAAAGAGTTAAAGTCTTAATACAACGAAAAATACGAGTTAGATGAACCACTTAAATGGGACATGAAGTTGTACGGTTACCACCTTATCATTGTCCTAACCAATCGAAATGATATGGGCAAGTTGGGACAAGTTGATCTAATACAACATTTAAGATGGCTGATGTTGAAAATAAATGCACGAAGCAATAGATTCGGTTAAAAGAAAATTAAATTGCGTTCGTCATGCCGAAAGAATACAGGACGAAGATTATCAAAAGGAAAAACATAGAGAAGTAATTTTAGAACCTATTATTCTCACAATACGACCAGGTGACAGCAGTAGTGATGACGACGATGAGGAAGACGACATATAATTTATTTGTGTAATATGTATATACCTACTTTAATTTAAATTATATTATATTTGTGTTTTAAAAAATTTTTGTATGATTAAATTTTGATTCTTTGGAAATAAATGTTTAATATCGGTATTTAAAATAGTTTATGCATCTTTTCCTAATTGTAACATCCATAAATGTGTTTAATATTATTGTATGTATATGTTGTATAGTGGTATGAACAATTTAAAACGCGGCAAACGGTTTAATAATCACTGTTGAAAACGGCCACGGGGATCGCTGATATCAACGTTCACTTTTGGTGAGCCGGACGTAAATAAATAATTTTCCCTGCTCAGTTAGTCATTTTATCAATGAATCCTTTTATAGTGGCTGGTATATTTTTAGAGTAGACTGATCAATTACTTCTTCTTCAACAACTTTTGAATTATGTGATCCTGTTTCTATAAACCAAATTGCCATCTTCGTCTGAATTGTAAATGTATCAATACTGGTACTAGTAGTAGTTTCAGAAGTAGTTTGATCACTTTTATTTGTTGGTGTTGATGATGATGATAATGTAGCACTTGCATTCCATGACGTGTTA